ATTATATGAAATGCTGAAAGGTATTCTTTAAGAAGAGGAAGAAGAAGAAAAAGGTAAAGATAAAAATTATGAACAGCAAATACATATCTATCAACAAGTGAATCTAAAAATCAAGTGAATAAAAAATCTGATGAACAGAGTAAACTGGTGAATATAATAGAACCAGGGGCATAGAAAGGAAGTGGACTGACTATTCTCAGGGGAGAAAGGGGTGTGAGGGTGCAGGAAGAGACTGGACAAAAATCGTACACCTATGGATGAGGACAGTGGGAGGGGTAAGGGCAGAGGGTGGGGTGGGAACTGGGTGGAGGAGAGTTATGGGGGGGAAAAAAGAGGAACAACTGTAATAATCTGAAAAATAAAGATTTAATTTTTTTTAAAAAAGAAAAAAGATAAAGACCAAAACCAAAAGAATTATGGGGTGAGGGGAGGAAGAGTTTATTAGGTTCCTGATTCCTGGTCTGTTCTTGAAAATCAAGGACTGCTTCCCACACTTTCCTCCCAGCTTCTGCTCCTACATCTGATCTGATATAAACCATTATCCAGTTTAACCACTTTCTGAATCTTCTTCAAGGCACTCAGGCAAGGCACTATTTGGGAAATGTGGAGTTATTCCACAGACTATATGTTTTTTCAGGTTGCTTATAGTATCTGTACAGTATAGTTGATCTAATTTTAAAATAGATGGAGACTTCTTAAAACATCCTTTACGACTCAAACAGGAGATTTGTCCAGTTTGTTTGGTGAATGTGTGGATGAGAAGGGTGATTGTCAGAGGAGCGAGTCTATCCCGCCGACTCACAATCGGTGGCAGAGCTGCTGCATGAAAATCTGCTATGTGTCTTTTTTAAGTGCTGTTTAAGGTGCAAGAGGAGAACTTTAGTTCTTTGTAGTGGAGTAGGGATTTTTTTCTTATGTTAGGTGTCTCATTGTCTATCTAAATAAAGAGGGGAATCTCAGGGTTTCTGCTACAGGGGGCCAAGCATGTTTATTTTCACTTCTCTATATCCTAAGTGGCATACCTCTTTCAGCGATAAGCATTAATGAGATTCATTAAAATTTATATCTGTTTCTTTTGTTCTTCGAAGAAAAATCCTCTAGGGCACAGGGGATTGAGTTAGCCATCAACCCCGGTTCAGAACTAGCCACTGAGAA